CCTCCTCCTCCCTCCTCCTCCTCCTCCCTCCTCCTCCCTCCTCCTCTCTCCTCCTCCCTCCTCCTCCCTCCTCCTGGCGGCCTCGATCGAGCCTGACCTCAGCATTGTGTAGCCGATGGTGTTGGGCGCGGCGATCCTTCCCGGTGGCCCTCGAGCGCGGGGCCGTGCCGAAGTCGGCGCTCGGAGCGCCCGCGCGCGAAGCCTGCTCCGGCTGCTCCTGCTCCCCCTCCGTTGCCGTCCGTAGTAGCCCTTCTGGCCCCGACTGGGCTGAGCCCCGCGCCACGGCGCCGCCGAGAGATGCGCGCGGCGGGGGCCCTCGCCGTGCTGTGGGCGCTCGGCACGCCTGCCCGCGGGTGCTCGAGGACAGACGCGGCCTCAGCGGAGTCGAAGAACCGGAGACTGAGGGAGGATCGGGAGCGGAAAAGAGGGGGGTAATGACTAGGGGGGGGTGGATTTCATGGCGCGGGCCATGATTTTTCCTCAGATTTCATGGCGCCTCTTCTTATTTCATTACGTCCCTGGCCCCCCCGCTGGGCCGCGCACATGCCGCCGGTCATGATTTGCACCCCCCCCTCTTGGACACCCCCCTCTTTGCCGCTCCCGAGAGGAGCTCGAGGCCACGGAGCGGGCCCTGCGCGAGCTGGTGCGGACTGCGGAGGCCCAGGGCATCCCGCTGGACGCCCCGGCGCGAGGCAGCGCCGCCCCGCGCCCGCGCAGGCTGGAGGACGAGGTCCTGACCGACCACGCGGCGGCCGTCTCGGAGGGCGCCCACGCGGCGAGCGTGGCCGCGGAGGCCGAGGAGGAGGGCGCCCACCACGCGGCGGCGGGCGCGGAGGCCGAGGGGGGCGCCCACGCGGCGGGCGCGGCCGCGGAGGCCGAGGAGGAGGGCGCCCACCACGGGGGCGAGCTCCACCACGGCGGCGAGGAGGAGGGCGTCCACCACGGGGGCGCGGACCACCACGGCGGCGAGGGCAGCGAGGAGCACTCCGAGGACACCGAGGAGCAGGAGACGATGGGCCGGTTTTCCGCCACCACCACCACCACCACCACCATAAGTTGGAGGGGGGAATGAGGTGGAGGACGAGGAGGAGGACCAAGAGGAGGAGGAGGAGGAGGAGGAGGAGGAGGAGGAGGAGGAGGAGGAGGACACCCTCCCCCTCCAACTTATGGTGGTGGTGGTGGTGGTGGAAAACAGGCCCACCAGGAGATGTGTAATCTGGACACGTCGATTATGCTCTTGGGGATGATCTCTTTCGTCATGATCCTGTTCTACCTGACGAATTGGCCCGACGACGACATCAGGCTGTATTCCTGGCAGATCACCAGCACCACGATCTCCATCTTCTGCTCCGTCATGCTGTTCCAAGGTTTCAACAAGTTCCTCGTTAAGCGCGTGGTGCATCCATTCGTGGGCCCGAGGAGCGAGAGTTATCCTTGGATTATGACTGTGTTTCAATTCGTGCAGTGTTTCGTGTACCTTGCGTGTATCCATTTCGGGACTGGGATCGCGTCTGGGGTCATCGGACGCAGAATTTGGTTCAACGTCGACATCGACAAGAAAATCAACACACAGATTTGGGTATACACTGACGCGCTGCGCCACACGAACAATTCCCCAGTGGAGAACGACCAGCTCATCCGTGCCGTGCAGTATGCCAAAGGCAAAGAGGTGACCGAGACTAGCAGCGTATATGTCAATGCAGAAAAGAATGAAGAGATTCCAGTGCAGAAGAAGGCCCACCACTGGCTTCAAAGGAAGCGCGAAACAAAAGCACTGGGCATGCTCTTCGCGCACTTGGCTGGCTTCGCCGCCATATACTCAGGCAAAGCCTTGCAGACGCTGATGATCCCCGAGCATCTCCAGGGGTGCGATGCGTCCTTTGGCATCAAATGTCTCGGCCTTATGCCAGTCATTATCAACCAGGTTGTGCTCCGGCTAGCGTTCTGGGTCTCGGGCAAGCTGCGAGATTACCAGCTCAAGTCTTTATTGACGGACAGCGACAACACCGACATCGAAGGCTTGAGGAAGATGCAAGAACTTATGAAAGAGGAGGTCGAAGAAAGCGAAAATGACGCATCTAGTTTGTCAATGTCGTTTCTTATTGTGAACAGCCTGGTTTTCTCCATCACTGACTATCTGCCGGCCGAAGAGTCCGAGCAGAAGATCTGCAGCAACGGGGAGGAAACTCACATAGATCTGGAACACGGCCTGGCGCCGGTCCTGATGCTTTATTGCACGGGCTTTCTGATGGTCGGGATGGCCATCGCGCAGGCCGTGGCGATGGCCAAGTACCACCATGAGCTCAAGAATATGGGCTACAACACCCTGATTCGAGTGTTAGAGGCGATACTCAATGCCACAGGCATGTGCTTCGCCTGGTGCCTCATCTGGGCCACCAAGTGGCTCGATAAGATGTTCGCCGAGCTCGACATGAAAGATGGCGAGTCGCAGTCGCTCTTCAGCCACGAGATTCTGGGGCGCGTGCTGCTGGCGTTCATGCTCACTGCGGTCGCGGCCCTGTCGGTCTTCGCAGTGGACAAGACGGCAGACGCGATGAGGAGCAACTACAGCGGTGACAGAGACACTCTGATGTTCCTCGAGGAGATCACGCGGGTCATCGTCAACTCGCTGGGCATCCTCGTCGGCTTCTCATGGGAGCACTCCTTCGACGGCAGTGTCGAGGATGTGGCTGAGTCGACGGCATCGCCGGAGTGGCAACCAGAATTTCAGCTGTTCTTGGGGATGTCAGTCTGCATTCTGATATTGCCCGCTTGGCGTGACTACATTCTGGAGAAGGTCATGCTCATTGACGTGATGTTAAAGCAGAAGCGTGGCCTTGGGCCGATCGAATTTGACAAGGACTCATGAAGCGAAGTGATGCGATTAGAAGGCGTCGCTCATTTGTCTGCAGAACCGAATTGTCTTGGCTACATCTCGTAGCACCGCTGGGTTTGGCGTGGCCCACGGGTAGCGATCTTGGAGCAACTGTGTGTTCTGCAGCTGTGCGCATTCTTGTACCCCGGCTCACCCGCTCTCTTCCCGCATGTCTTTCTCTCTCTCTCTCTCTCTTTCTTGTCCTGTCCTCTTCTCACCTGTCTCCCACCCGACAGGTTGGTGTCGCTAGATTTCAAAAACAGGCCCCCCCGGCAAACCCCACCCTGCATACCGCGGCCGCCAGACCCCCAGTTGTCCCGAGAATCCCGATCGTCCCGTGTGTTCCGCCTCGCGCCCGGCCACCCCCACCCTGCATACCGCGGCCGCCAGACCCCAAGTTGTCCATCCCCGAGGGTCCAGGGTGTCCCGCCTCGCGCCTGGCCAACCCCGCCCTGCATACCGCGGCCGCCAACCCCCAAGTTGTCACGATGATCCCGCCTCGCGCCCTCGACGAACACGACAGAACACAACAAAACATAACATAACCGAACATACCATAACACAATATAAGATAGCATATCATATCATGACGCAGCTAACACGACAGCAGAGCATAGCGACGACGATTATGACAGAACGCAAGACGACACAACATAACATGACATACTAGAACACGATCATGACAGAACATGTCAGGCCATAACATAGCAATGCCATGACAAACTAGATCATACTCTAAGATCACGCAACATACCAGAGCAGAACATGTCATAACATAAGACGACACAAAACAATATAACAACACGAAACCGACCATACCATACCACACCTCGACATAATCATATCATGAGACATCGTTACATAACACTTCATTCTACGACAGCGGAGCATAGCTGCACATACTAGCAGAGCATACCATACTGTACCATACAGAGCCGAGCCGCCAACATACATAACAGCACATAGCATACCAGAGCAGCACGTGGCAGACACGAAGACCACATAACACATGATGAAATAACATAGTCGGCAGTACCATAACACCTCACATCACTTACCATAGCATGGCACCGGATCACAGAAGATCCCATAACTCGACAGCAGAGCACAGCGACGCCGATTACGAATTAGCACAGCGTGACACACGAACACCGAGCACGAGCATGACAGAACATGACAAACCACAACATAGCAATGCCATGATTCAACGTCGAGCCTGAACTTGCATCACATAGCATACCAGAGCAGAGCATGACAGAACAGAAGACGACATAGCACAGCATAACATAATATTGCCTACCATACTATAAACACCTTGGCAGAACATATCATAGCATGACACACAGCATTCCATAACATACCATAACACGACAGCAGGGCATAGCGACACATACCAGCAGAGCAGATCTCACTATACTATACAGCACCAGGCCGTCAACAGTCATAGCGTCACATACCATTCATGACAGCATCACAGAGCACATCATATCACGACAGCGAAGCCCAGCGACAATTATCATACCATAACATTTCGAAGTCTATGATGACAGAGATTTGCAAACCCGAACATGCTCAACCATCAGAGAAACATACGTAAAGATGAATATCGTAGCATACGACCCATCTAATGTCATAAGCATCACGACGTGACGCTGGCCCGTCGAGAACATAACAAGACATACTATAGCAAAGCATTAACCAACGTGACTACATGGAACACGGTTGAATCGTTCTGGTATCCAGAAACGGCAGTTGTCGACTAATTAGACGGCCGCGCGCCATAGGGAACACACGCTTAAGGTTTCGGTGGGAATCGCTCGAAGCAGAGTCATTGTTTGCACACTTCAGTTTTTGAGTGTTGTTTGCGCACACGCTATGTCACTGCGCACGGTCGAGTGCTTGCTTCTAGCCAGCGCTGGGACAGCGTGTGTATGCATCTCTCCCTTGAGGCGAACCAGCGATTCAGTTTGCCCAAGCTGTCAAGGTGCTCCTTCCAGCGCGTTTCAGAGGCGGCCAAAGGCAGTCGGAGGTGAGACGCAGGGGCCAGCAAAGCCGGCCCGTGCCCCTCCGCCTCCTTCCTCTTCTCCCCCCCGTCCCTCTCTCCCAACCAACGTGTGTTTCGTTGATGCTGAAATCTCCTCGCAAGGCTTCATTTACTATCGGCCGTAGCTCGGTGTACGAACGGACGCGCACGAGTGAGAGAGGGCAAGGCGAAAGCAGAGAGCGTATGAAGTCACAAGCTGCGGGGCTCCGCACGCCTCGCATGGGGGGAGGTCGCCTGCCTCCTCGAGCTCGTCCGTGGGGCAGTGGCCAGAGTCCGCCGTGCGGTAGCCGAAACCGTCCAACGCCCTTTTGCAGGTCTGAATCGGTTCGGTCTTCTAAGGGGCCACAAGCGAACCCTACCCCTGCCCCCCAGGATTTCTGAGGGGGAGGCTGGGGGTGGGGTTCACTTCGTTCGGGAGCTCCCAAGCGAAGTGAACCCCACCCTCCCCCTCAGAAATCGTGGGGGGCAGGGGTAGGGTTCGCATGCGGTCCCCTATCTTTTCTTCCCGGTACCGGATCGGTTGGCCGTCTCGGCTCAACCCGTCGTCCAGGACGTCGTGGCGGCCAGCGGCCATCCGTTTCTTGGCAGACGTGAAGGATCAGGAGGGGAAAAAAACACACAGACACAAATAATCGTCGATTCCCCAGAAAAGATGGGAACATATGGGAAGTGGGGGAAGACAAAAACCCAGAAAATATGGGAAGATATGGGGAATCTGTTTATTCGTGTGTATTTATTTGTGTGTCCCATGTCATCATGTACGTTGCCAGCCTCCAGCCTGGTCGGGAAGTCGATCATCACCGCCCGAGCCTCAGCACCGCCTGCCGTCGGACCGTCGGCGGGGAGGGCGGCGGAGTGCATCCGCCGCACAGTCGTTCCGCTCGGAGCCATGCTCCGACGTGGCCCCAGGGCCTCGATCCAGCTCCGACGATCGTCGGCTCCCAAGCCTGCACTCACGCTGGTCACCAGGGCGTCATGCAGGCCCTTGCAGTCCGTGACCATGGTGGCCGCAGTCTTCTTCAGTTCGGTGGGTATGGCCCGTAGGTCCACTCGTCCGTTCAGGATCTCCAGGTAGGCGAGGCGCAAGCATATGGCCTCTTCGTCGGCCACGTTGCCGCTCTGGACCTCGCAGCCGAGACTCGAACGAATAGTCCGCGGACACTTCTTGGATATCATCAGCAACGGGGATGTAGGAGAGCGTTCTTCCTCCAGGATGCGTCTCTCAGCCATGGCCAGGACGAAACCGCCCTGGGATTTGCCATTTCGTCGCGCCGCCCAAGCGGCGTCATGACAAGTCACGAACACGGGATCATGCAAGGGTCGGCAGGTGATCAGGATCTCTGCCGCCTCGTGTGCGGTTCGGACTATCTTGTTGATCTTCTGCACCGCGGCGTAGGTCGCCTCGTCCAAGTAGGATGCTGTAATGCTGGTGTCGGCTGCGATGAGACCCGTCCCTTGGCTGGCCAGGTACTGCAGGCCGCCAACCGCGGCTCGGCAGGCGGCCTTGCCCGCGGGTGGCAGCTCGTCCTCCAGCTTCCCGTTGAGCGGCTTCTGCCGGCCCTCGATCCTGGTGACCCTCTTGGCGGATTTCTGGAATGATTGTTGGATGGTGCCATTGGCGAGTTGGGTGATCCCGATCCCCGTCTGCATGAACTTGTCGGCCTCCCACTTGATGGGCCTGTTTTCCACCAGAACCACCATAAGTTGGAGGGGGAGGGAGTCCTCCTCCTCCTCCTTCTTTTCGTCCTCCTCCTCGTCCGCCTCCCTCCCCCCTCCAACTCATAGCGGTGGTGGAAAACAGGCCCATCATTTGGGGTGGCGAGGGCGCAGCTCGAGTCGATGCCAATGACCATGTCGTCCACGTGGGCAGAGGCAGTGCCCCCGATCTTCTGGCTGTCGCACAGGATCCACGGGCACGGCTCCAGTGCCATGGCCATCCATCCTGCAGCCGACATCTTGGACGAGATCCCGCCGAACCCCTCTTCCAGGGCACCGCGCAGACCGCAGGCCTTCTCGAGCAGCATCACCACCTCGTCCTTCTTCAGGTTCATGGCCCCTCTGAGCTCCTCCACGGGCTCTGCGAGGATACTTGTGGGGGATGCCTGCGACTGCAGGGAGGCTGCCTTCACGTCACCCTTGAGGAGCCTGAGCTTGAGGTTGGCACACACCTGCAGGGCCATGCTCCGTCCACGGACGGAATCGTAGGACTCGCTGTAGCCGCGGTGCCAAGACTCATGGTCTTGGAAACCCGAGAGCACGAGCCTTCCCTTGGCGGTGCCGTCGCTCTTGACGGTCAGGCACCAGCGCATCTTCGTAGGCTTCTTGCTTGTCTCGTGTAGGGCCCCCACAGCCCTGAGTCCATGTTGCGCAGCTTCACCTCGGGACTCTTGCGTAAGGCGGCCGCGGCCCATGCGGCAGGATCCTTCAAGATATGCCTGCTACTCTTCGTCTGCATGTCCGCGGGGAGGTCGAGGGGCACCGTATAGACGCCATCGCTGCATTGTGCACTGTGCAGGCTGTCTGCCCCACTCCCCCCACTGAAACACTCGTGCCTTGTCCGATTGCCCTTCCGCAGCTCGAGCCCGACGTCATCGATGGTCCGTTTAACCCCTTTCAAGTTCTGGCGGATGCACATGGGGACGTCGTCCAAGTGGTTGTATCGGCCCCCGACTGACTTCGGAGTGGGCGATGGCGGGGTCGAAGCGGGTCTCTGGGACGACTTCGCTTGCGGTGTTGCAGACTCTTGTGAGGGAGCCGTGGGCTTGCCTGGAGTGTCCTCTGGCAGTGCTCCCCGGGTTGCCACCCGAGGAAACCACGCTGTGTATGTTGCCGAGGGCCTTGCCACTACCCTCGATGATCAGGGAGCCCTGTACTCGGTCTCCAGACACAGGATGGACACGGTCGAAAACCGTAAATCTAGAATCACTTCCAAAGGCTCGGCCAGCTCGCCTGCAGCAATAGGCCTGATTTGTCGTTTCTGGTAGCGATCACGAGCACTGCACCTGAGCTCCCCAGCGAGTCGCAGCACCCATTGCGGTGACCCTCGCTGCCGTAGGAGAGTTTGGAGGGCTCCAGGAGCAGGTTGTCCTAGCTGGTTGTGAAGCTTCTGCAGGGCCCGCGCCGCATCCTCCACCTGCTGCATGTCGGCCGCGGGGTTCTCGGGAGACTCCGCTGCGAAGGTCATGGGCTTCTCGTTGCGAATCTGAGCCATGTCGTGAAGCGCCGCGTTCCAATCGCAGTGAGCCCCTTGGGCCAGTAGCTTCCCCAGCGCTCGGAGGTCGGTGCGAGCCATCTGATCCACCATAGGCTGAGAGTTGGTGAGCAGGCAGCGGTCGCTCGTGGTCGCCGACCAGGTATACTAGCGTTCTCGTAGTCGTCGGATTGGGGCCTCATTGCAAATTCAGGAATGTTTTTGGACAGAGAGCCGTCACCCTGAACTGCATGTGTGCCGCCGCTTCTCCCAGTCGAGCCAAGTTGGTCACGATGAGCAGGTTGCGGCTGAGCAGGGCAGGTGTAGTGGGGTCGTCGTAGGTAGAGCCAGAAACACGTGCCGAGGATTCAGCTCTTGTATCTTCAGGAGCGACCTCTGGTACCCCGCCTCGGTGGTCAGGTCGAATCCCGTCGTCAGGTTACCCTTGGAAGCTAGGCCACCTTTGGCGATGACCTCCTCCATGATGCCGTACCCGTCCTACACGCAGAGGGAGAGCACATCGATGGTCGCCAAGTCGTGGAGGGCAGCGAAACTGGAGCGCAGGAAGTCATTGATGCCCTGGATGCCCCCTTTTCACCAGAAGCACCCGATCTCGCGAACGCTCCAGCGGCCGAGGTGCCATTCGAGCCCCGTCGCAGGCCCGTCCAGATTCTCGGGCATGATCTTGGCCTGCTTGCGGGCATTGGCCTTCATGCTCCATGCCCAACGGTCTTGAATCTCCTTGGCGATGCCCTGCCACTGGTTGAGCTCCTCCAAGGTATGCTGCGGATCGCTGGACGCGTACGTGCGCACCGAGGGCCCTTTTGGTGCCTTTCTTTTCCTTGCTGGGGTTGTCCACTGCAGCCACCGTCGCAGCTGCTGAGGGGCCCCTGGTCCTGCGGAAGGCGGCGACCTTCGTCTGGGTTGAGCTGTCTGGCGCCCTTGGCTTGGCTGGGAGTCTTCGATGGGACTCGGGTCGACCTGACCTCCTGAGAGCCGTCGGTGACTTCCTTCGAGCAGTCGGCCTCCGGCTCTTCGCGTGCAGCTCTCTTGTTGGGGACCGAAGGTAGTTCCCGAAGTTCGGAGCGCAGCTGGAATGGGTCCTCCTGGCCTTGGGCCTTCCGCTGTTCGAGGACCTCTGCTGTTTGGACGGCTAGTCCCCAGTCGGGGGCCAGCTGCAAGTCGATCCCCTCTTCGTACAGGCGGGCCGCCTCGGCCATCAGGGCCTCGCCGGCTGCTTCGCGGCTGCCTTGTGGCGGTTCGCATCGGAGGCTTCGGGGTTCAGGTCCAGAACTAGCTCCATGCTCTGTTCGTAAATGTCCTCGTAGAACTCCTGAACCGTCCCCAGAGTCTCTGATGACGGAGCTGGGGCTGGGGCCGCAGCCACGGCTGAGGCAGCTGTAGGTGGCGGCGGTGAGGAGGAGCAACCCTCCTCGGCGCTCGACTCGATGACTAGCCAGACCGGGTCGTCGAGGCATGTTTCCGTCGGCAATTAGGTCGTCAGCTGACGACAGGAGTATGGGATAGCTGGTCAGTGAATGGCCACGCCTCGGGTCCGAAGTGCGGCAGCTTGAGCCCAAGCGGCAGCTGGGTGAGGAGCCCTGACCCTGGATTGGCTAGTCGGGGTCCGCGTAGGGCCTCGGAGCCTGGTAGAAGATCTTGTACGAGCCCTTCCCCTCGAGCCTGAAAACCTTGCAGTGGTCCACGTTGTAGGCCTCCTTGTTCACTCGGGCATGGTCGAGGTCCTTGGCGAGATTTCCCCTTGTGATCCCCAGTCTCGTCGAGGTCCTTGTTGATATTTCCTTGGTAGTTCTGGTTCCTAGACAGCTTGTTGAGGCACGTAGAGTATAGAGTTAGCGCAGTGGTATTGATATTGGAATTGCCTCCGGCCAGTGCCGCCGATCCTGGGGGCTGCGGATTTAGTGATCTTCTCGGCTCTGTGGCATCCTCCCTCCTCGATTCTGCCGGTCCTCAGGTCCTCTTTCTTTTTCTTTTTCGACGACGACGGTGACGACGACGACGACGGCGGCGGCGGCAGCGGCGGCAGCGGCGGCGCGGGCCGTGCCTCGTCTCGCCGGCCGTGCCTCCGCCCGACGCGCGCGAGGAGGGAAGAGAGAGGAGGAGGGCGAGGAGGAGAAGGAGGAGGAGCAGGAGGAGGAGGAGAAGGCGCAAGAGGGAGGACGAAGAGGAGGCCGACGAAAAGGAGGAATGTGAGGAAGCGACGGACAAAACCCGAGAGGGGTCCCGCGCAGTGGTATTGATATTATTCGGGGAGGTCGCAGACGATCTCGTAGTACAAGTGGGAATCGTTCTAGCGTCTCTATCTTGAATTCTTTACGCTTCGCGTATCCCCACCAGCCCATCTCACAGCAGCAACTCTTGCGAAGCATGCCGACAGTCGTGTTTTTCAGGCGTGTGTCCGCTTGGCCCCGCATATCTCCCCTGTTCCTCCTTCCTCCCGCCTCCTTGCACATCCTCCTTGTGGGGGGAGCGGGAGAAGGACGAGGCGGAGGAGGAGGGAGAGAAAGCGCTCCTCGTGATTTGAGTCGTTTGGGGTTTCTCGTCCTGGTGTGAGTCGTTCGGGCCCTTCTTCCTGGTGTGAGTCGTTCGGGCTCTTCGTGGTGTGAGTCGTTCGGGCTCTTCGTCCTGGTGTGAGTCGTTCGGGCTTCTCGTGGTGTGAGTTGTTCGGGCCCCTCATCCTGGTGTGAGTCGTTCGGGCGGTGTGACTCGTTCGGGCTCCTCGTGGTGTCGTTCGGGGCCCGCGTCGTGGTGTGAGTCGTTCGGGCTCCTCGTGGTGTGAGTCGTTCGGGCGCCTCGTCCTGGTGTGAGTCGTTCGGGCCCCTCCTTGTGGTGTGAGTCGTTCGGGCTCTTCGTGGTGTGAGTCGTTCGGGCCCCTCGTCCTGGTGTGAGTCGTTCGGGCTCCTCGTGGGGCCTCTTGGGGGCCTCTTGGAGCCTCTTGGGGCCTCTTGGGGGCCTCTTGGGGGCCTCTTGGGGGCCTCTTGGGGGCCTCTTGGGGCCTCTGGGGGCCTCTTGGGGGCCTCTTGGGGGCCTCTTGGGCCCATCTTGGAGCCTCTTGGGGGCCTCTTGGGGGCCTCTTGGAGGCCTCTTGGGATCCTTTTCAGCAGCCGTACCCCACTCGCGATACAACACATCAAGGTTGAACTGGGTTCTATCAGTGTCGCCATTCTCGGCCGAAACAAGGGCTCGGGAGGCCATGCGAGACACTAAATCCCAATCCTTAGATGGTTGGGGCAGGGGACCAGGGGGCCGTTCTTTGGGGGGCGGAGGGGGGCTGCGAAACGTGAGGGCCCGAAGAGACGCAAGCTGAGGGTGAAGTTTGACCGAGACGGGGTCGTGGGTAGCCAACTCCGAATCCGCGATAACCTTCACGCTCGCAATAGCTTGGGCAACTCTGGCCTCAACCAACATATAACCGTACATCTTCAATCCTCCAGTAGACCTGCAAGTGCCTAGAACACCCGAGGGAACGCAAAATTCGGCACCAAGGCGGTCGGGGACCTCCTGGGGGCCTCTTGGGGCCATCTTGGGGCCTCTTGCAACCTCCTCAGAAGCGCAAAGGAGCGCTGCCCCCTGAGAAGGACAACATGAGCCCAACACCTGCGTTAAAGCAATGATTTTGCTATGAAGGAAGAGGAGCGCGGCCCCCTGAGAAGGCCAAAATGGAGCCAAAAACGTAGTAAAATCAATGATTTCTGCTTCAAAGACGAGCAGAGGGGCCAAACTCTGCCCCCCCGTCGGGGCCAGAATCCTCGTGAGGGTCGTCGTTTTTTAGCCCTCCCAGGAGTCGAAATTTACCCCCTTGAGACCGCTCGGGACTCCATCTCCAGGCCCAGGGGGAGGGGGTAGGGGGAGGGTTAAACCTTCCCCGAAGGGGAAGAAGGGGGGCTGAGGACAGAGCGGGCTCTCTAAACCACTCGCGCCCAAAGGGCTGGTGGGATTTGCCCCGTGGGGCCCACACGAGGCTCAAGATGACCCCAGACGCCATATGCCTGGCTACACACCCCAGAGTGACCCTGTAGACCAAGAAGCGAAACAGGAGCAAGTTGACAAGGTTGGTGGGATCCTGAGTTGTTTCCCGTCAAGGCATGGTCGCGGTCGGGAGTCTCCACCTGTTGCTCACGCCGTCGCTGTCCCTAGAGCAGGGGCAGGCCCCAGTGACCGTTCGGGAGAGCCGTCAGCCTCTCGCGGTGGCTGTCGCTGTACACCAGGAGGCCGTCGTGCGTAATGTCGGCCGCAGCGGCCTTCAAGTAGTCCAGTCCCAGGAGAGTTGGGCTCGACGTCGGCACCAGAGCAAACCGCAGGCAATCACCCGGCTCCTTCAGCACCAGGGGGTGGGGTACTCCAGCAACGTCCAAGCTCTTGCCCTGCGTATTGCTCGCGTAGGTTAAAGTGATCTACGCGCTCTCGTGGTACTTGATCTCGTCGGAGCCGAGGGCCAGGAGGACCTGCTCCTGGAGGTAGCCGACCAGGTTGACACCGCTCATGGACCTGGTAGCCCCCGAGTCCACGATCGCGTATCTCACCATGTCCCTCATGGTGAAGAACGCGCGCTGCACGGTCATCGAGCTCATGGGTTCCTCCTCTCCGTCGTGGCCGTCCCAGTGCGCCACGCAGGTCACGGGGGAGGTCGGCTCGTCTAGCTTTTATGTTGCTCCCATCGTGCATAAGGGCCACATCCCAGAAATGATCCCGGGCATCCCGAACAGTGCTGAAACCGTGTCGAACAAGTGTGTCCGGGGGCCCGACCCGTGAACACCTTCGAGTTTCGGTATTTTTTTGGTGCTCGAGATTCTTTCTGGTGACCAGGGCTCAAATAGACTGAAGCGTAAGCTTCTTTCTGGTCGCCAAGGCTAAAGTAGGTCGAAACATAATATTCAGGAGGGAAAGAAACACACAGACACAATTAATCGTCGACTTCCAGAAAATATGGGAAACTATGGGGAGTGGGGGGGAAGACAGAAACCCAGAAAACATAGGAAAATATAGGGATTCCTTTTATTTGTGTGTATTTATTTGCGTGTGTGTCCCAGGGCCCCTTCAAATACGTCCAGCTCCTCGACCACCGCGCCCGCCGAGCCAGGCCGCGCGTCGCCCTCAGTGCTTGTGGGGGGCACTCCGCCGTCCTGCGGGGCCCGCGGCAGCTCGGGCACCTCGCGGGCTGGGCGCCCGGGGCGCTGGCAGCGGCGGGGCCGCGGTGCTGCCGCGGCCCTGAGCAGGTCTGGCGGGCAAGATTCATGTCCATATCCAGTGCCTCTTGGACTTTTTTGGAAGCGGCGCCACAAGGCCGAGGCGCACTGGATATGGATAAAAAATCGAGCCTCTAGGGGGCAAATGTTTGCCCATATCCAGTGCGCCTCGGGTTTCTTGGGAAGGGAGCCCGAAACTCCATACTGCAGTGGATATGGACAGAAGTATTGCCCGCAGGTTTGGCACGGCCCGCACCCTCACTGGGCCTATGATGTGCGAACTTCCTTTAGCCTTGATCACGAGAGGCCGTTCGAGAACGCCACGCAGGCGGTCGCGAGGGTCCTCCGAGCTCGGCGCCACCGGCCCTGGCGAGGAACGCCCTGCGAGCAGCAAGAGACGTTCCAAGCGGATGGCTGGCCCTGCGGACAACCCGGGGTGGCGAGGCGGGTCGAGCGCGCCTGGCGCGCGATCCGAGGCGAGGGCCACCGACCGCCGGTCAGCATCAGCACGGCGCGCGCTCGAGGCAACGAGTGGATCCGGAAGCCTCGGGGCGCAAGCGATAACCGCTCTGCAAAGGCCGACGCCAGGAGCAAGAGCACGGGCATGGCCCGCCCGCCGAAGGGCCGGGCCGCGCAAGAGGCCAAGCATGAGACTTCGAGGAGGCAAGCGCTGCAGCGCTTAAGAGCATCCCGCGCCTGCCGCGCAAGGACGGTCCCAATGGGTGCCGAGCCTGCGTGGCCGATTGGTTCGAGGTGGTCGCGAGCGAGATTTCCTGGCGAGGAGCGCCAATGACCGCGCAGGCAAGCTTTAGGCACTAGATCTCCAGGGGGCGCCAAGGATCACCAGAGCAAGGATCTAGAGGAGCGCCAAGGATCATCATCCTCCTTATTGTCGTCGTCATCATCACCGTCGCCATCATCCTCCGATCTGCCAGGAAAGCGCCCATTGCCCCCCCATGGGCCAATCACTTATTATTCCCAGGTGCTTAATTTCAGGGGTGGTTGTTTAGGGCCCAAAGAATTTTCGATTGTTTTCCCAAGAGAACCACTGGTTCCCCAATATATCCCGCACGTTTTCTTAATGAGGTCCGGCTTCTGATTTGATTGGGCTGGGGCTGTCTTGGGGGCTGATTTTGTTAGTTTGGAGCCCTCGTGGAGCTTGCGGGGGGCCTCTTGGAGGTATGCTGGAGGCTTCCGGGGCAATTCTTGGGACGCGCGGCTAGACTTGTCGGTTCGTATGCCCCCGAGCATTGAGGGAAAACCCCAGGGTTCGTAGTGGCGCTTCCGGAACCGTCGGGGGGACTTCCGGTCACATGGCCCACTGACCTCGCGAGGCCTTCCGGTGTGCGCTCAACGCGCCCCGAGAGGAAAGTTTCGCTCGTTGTCAAACAGTTATTCCACGATTTCCGTCGTTGTGCCTTTTCAGTTTTGAGCGCGCCGACCACGGCTTCAAACCCCACTTAAAAAAGGACGAACGAAGCCCAGAAAACAAGGTGACCAACAAGTGTTCAAGAAAACCCCAGTACGGCTTAAGTGGGGCCACGCGGCGCCTAGGAGTACCGTCGGGCTCAACCATCCCATGAAGGCCCGCATATGGAACAAGAGAAGCGCAAGGCGGTTCCAATATCGCGATTGGCCAAAAGAGCGCCGAGACGTGCCCAAACGATCCCCCAAAGAGTCGAGGAACCATAACGGCCCCAAGACACCCCACGGAGGCGCCTCCGGCATGCGTCCAGGAGGCCCCCCCATCCGGCATCCGTACACCCCATATATTTTGGAACGCGTCGCTTCTGATCCTCCAGCGCCCTTCCTGTTTCACCCTTTGCCTCCTCCATTGTTTCCCGGCAGCGGCAATTATTCAGCGTGCCGCTCGGTTTGTCATTCGCGCCTGGGCGTGTGACAGGCAAGCATGTTGAGTCGTCTTGCAGTGTCTAGGGGAAAAACAGGCGCATCATCTCTCCCTCTTCCTTCATATCGCCCCACAGTCTCGTTCCGTGTTCCCGCATATCGCGTGGCACGCGGCTTAATCGTATTTTATATTTGTTCGCTCCCCGCGTTACCGCCCTTTTCTTGCACCCTTCGTCTCCTGATGTCACTCCCTGTTTCTCCTCCATCTGCCACCTTGCCGCTTCCCTTCTAAGAGGTCCAACGGGTGCGAAAGTATGGCCTTCATATATTTGGATGTACCCCATCACTTTTTTCATTATTTGTTTTCGAGCGCTGGGATCTTCAATTTGTTTCGGGTGATCTCGCCATTCGGCATGCCTTCGAGACGAGACGCCATCGAAGGATCTATGGACTCACCAAGATGGCCCCACGACGCCAGCGATACCTTTCAACTTCAGCTCTGGCGCCCAAGCTCGTTAGGACTTGAGCGCGCGACATACATATATACATACATACGCGCATACATGTATGCATACATAGATGTATGCATGCGCATGTGATTAAATGTATATATACATGTGCACATATATATATATATGTATATAGGTGTGTGTCGGTATAAGTATATATGTTGATGTGTGCATATGTGTGTATATATATATATATACATATATACAACGGGGGACCGGGCCCCGGGCCGTGGGGCCCGGACATTACCACAAATGTGTGGACCAGGCGCCGAGCGCTCCTTTGGGGTGCCCGAGCTCGCCTCCGAGAGGGGTCGGGCAGCCGTCCAGGCGACCCAGGACTGCTTCGAGCCATCCTCAAGACGACCTCGAGGGGTCTTAGACAGCTCGCGAAACGTTCCAGACGGCCCCAGAGGCCTCCAAGGCGCCTCCAGGGCGGTCCCAGAGGACTCACAAGATCGCCCCGAGAAGCACAACTCGTCACATTCCCTTCGGGGACAAATGGCATGTTTAGCCTATTTCTTTTGTTTGGCCTCAGTATTGCCAACACCCCAGAAGTATTCCCCGATCGCACCTCAGAAGGCCTGAGAGTTCCCCAGAAGGCCCCAAGATGGGCCCAAGAGGGCCCCAAGACGGCTCCAAGAGGGGTCCAAGACGGCCCCAAGAGGGGTCCAAGAGAAGGAACGCCAACCGAAAATCCTAGCCTTCCTGTCCAGGAGGCGCCTAGGAGGCCCCAAGAGGCCCCCGAGAGGCACCACGAGGTCTGCAAGAGGCCCTCAGGAGCCTTCGGAGTCCCCGATCAAGCCCAAAAGATGCTTCAATAGGCTTCAAAACGGCCCCCACGAGGCTTCCAAACTGGCCCCCAAACGGCCCTGGGGGGGCCGGGTCCGGGACCCCGACCACAAATGTGCGTACCGGGGACGTGGGCCGATTTTGGGAAACCCAACATCGCCCCAGAGAGCCATCAAACCGTCGTCGGGGTGGCCCAAGACGACCCAGAATCACTCCCCAGACGGCCTCCATGCATCTCAGACGGTCGATGATAGCCTCGTGTCGTCAGAAGAGGCGCAGACAGCCCCAGAGGGCCCTCAAGAACGCTTCCGAGAATGCCAAACCATAAAAAAAACCCGAGGGGCATGTATGATCTGCGCCTACTTTCCAGACTTTCCTGTTATTACCTTTGATTGTTCAGCGACGGGGAGTTTTCAGCGGTTCCCTCGGTATGTCACTTTCGCGCGGGCGCGTCAGGCTGCTGGGCCAACTTGCAGGTGACCTCCGCCTGCAGACAGCAGCGCCTGTGCTGCTCAACAAAGGTTTTGTACCCGGATCGGCCCACATGGGCCGAAGAGATTTGCAGGTGACGTCCGCTTGTTGTCAACGCAACGGCTTCTACATATTTGAGACCAGTAGCTGGTCGCTCGTTTCCTCCCTCCATCCTATCTTCTATTACTTCTGATTGCTCAGCGACCAGGAGTCTCCAGCGGGTGACTCGGTATGCCACTCGCGCACGGGCTTGTCAGTCTTGTGTGTCGACTTGCAGGTGACCTCCAACTGCGGACAGCAACGCCTCTGCTGACCAGCAATGGTTTTGCTCTCAGACTGTCCAACATGGAATGGACCGAAGAGGTTTGCAGGCGCCTGTAGTCAGCGCAGCGATTTCCGTTCATTTCAATCTCTGGAGTTGGGCCCCGAGAGGCCCCCGAGAGGCACCACGAGGTCTGCAAGAGGCCCTCAGGAGCCAATACTGCCAACACAACCCACAAGAAATCCCAAATCGCCCCCCGTATGGCCCACGAGTCTCCCTAGAAGGCCTCAGGACGGCCACAAGACGGCCCCAAGAGGGCCCCAAGACAGCTCTACAACTGACCCACGACCAAGCTCGGGAACGCCAACCGAAAATCGGAGTTAGCCTTCGGTTCCACAGGCGCCCAGGAGACCCCAAGCGGCTCCCGAGAGGCACCACGAGGTCTACAAGAGGCCCTCAGGAGCCCCCAGAGGCCCCCAGCAAGCCCAACATATGCATCCGACAGGCTTCAA